CCAGGCCTGGTGGCTCCTGCCTGTAATCCCAGCACTTTGGGAGGCCAAGGTGGGCAGATCACAAGGTCAGGAGATCAAGACGATCCTGGCTAACAAGGTGAAATCCCATCTCTACTAAAACTACAAAAAATTAGCAAGGCATGGTGGCATGAGCCTGAAGTCCCAGCTACTCGCGAGGCTGAGGCAGGAGAATCGTGAACCAGGGAGGCAGAGGTTGCAGTGAGCTGAGATTGCACCACTGCACTCTAGCCTGGGTGACAGAGCGAGACTCCGTCTCAAAAAAAATTAGGCGGATCGCTTGAACCTAGAAGGCAGAAGTTGCAGTGAGCCCACATGGCGCCACTGCACTCCAGCCTGGGCAACAGAGCAAGAGCAAGACTCTGTCTCAAAAAAAAAAAAAAAAAGAAAAGAAAGAAAAAGAAAAGAAAATGTGGTATAAGTTGAATTTCCCTTATCCAAAATGCTTGAGACCATTAGTGCTATAAACTTTTTTTTTTTAAAGATTTGGGGATATTTGCATATGCATAATGAGGCATCTTGGAGATGAAACGCAAGTCTAAACATGACATTTATTTATGTTTTAAATACACCTCACACATGTAGCCTGAAGGTAATTCTAAACAATATTTTAAATAATTTTGTGCATGAAAGGAAGTTTTGACTGTGTTTTGACCATGATGTGTCACATAAGGTTACATGTGACATTTTCCACTTCTGCTGTCATGTTGTCACTCAAAATTTTTTGTATTTTGGAGCATTTTGGATTTGGGGTTTTTAAATTAGGAATGTTCAATCAGTAAATATAATATTAAGTATTCCAACATCTGAAAAAAGATACCAAATCAAAAACACTTCTAGTCCTAAGCATTTTGGATAAGGGATAGTCAATCTGTACTATTCGGCCTTAAAAAGAAAGGAAATCCTGTTATTCGCTACAACCCAGGTGAATCTGGAGGACATTATGTTAAGTGAAATAAACCAGGCACAGAAAGACAAACACTGCATCATCTCACTTATATGTGGGATCTTAAAAAGTGAAACTCACCGAAGAAGAGAGGAGAATGGGGGTTACCAGGGATTGTCAGGGAGGCAGGGAAGGCTGGTCAAAGGACACAAAATTCCAGTCAGGCAGGAGGAACAGCTACAACAGATCTATCCTGCGTCACGACGACTGAAGTTAATAACAATATACCGTATTCTTAAAAATTGCTAAAAGAGTAGATTGTAAGTGTTCTCACTCCCAAAAATAAGTATGTGAGGTAATACATATGTTAAATAGTCTGATTTCATCATTCCACAGTGCATACATATTTCAAAATATCATGTTGTATACCATACATATAAACAATTTTTTTCATTAAAAAGTGAGTACTACTCTTAAATCGCAGATTTTTGAAAGCACCCGTTATCTTATCTTTGCTTTTCAAAGCATAATTTTAATATTAATTTTGTTGATTTATTTAAAGGTTAATTTTACTCAGGAAAGCAACACGATGTGGCATAGTCCATCACAGCACTGGCACACAGCACCGCCACCAACACTATCAGGGGACAGGTGGCACTGGTTTTATCTGCACCTGGCTCAATAAATGCTGGAAAACTTCCCAGGTTCCTAAGAGCAAAGCTGCCCTTTGTATCCACGTGTAAGGACTACCGAACTGCCTCTCCCTTTAGGCCCTTTTTCACTTGTCTGTAAGGTTTGTGGGGTCGCCACTCCTAGAGCATCTGTTTTCAATCATTTTCCATACAAAAAGTACCATCTTGTAGCAAAGGAGCAAGAATAAGGAAAGGAGAGCATCATCTCAGGTTGATTTTTAGGAGAGTCACATAGTAAGTGTGGATTCTGGCTAAACAGGAGTGCATCATTACATTTTCTCAGCTCCCAGAAGCAAGCCTCCACTCCACGCCGCTCCACTTATTATTTGCCAGGCCAAGCAGCATTGTCTGAAGCCGAAACCAGAATCCCAGCACTTGGTCCTGGAGACACATGCACTTGCTGGATAAACATTTATCTCCAAGCGGAGGGACCATCCCAGCCCTCCACATGGAGATAAATATTTATCCAGCGAGTGCACGGCTCTAAACGGCCAAGTAGAAGGGGGTTGGTTTCAAGGCCCCAGGTCTCCTCCTGGGCTGATGGGTCACCCGCCATGGGGAAACCCATTTCTGTCCTGTAGCTGGATCCCACAGCCACAGTCAGCCCGTAATCGCCACCATGAGTGAGAGGCGCCCACTGGGACTGCTGAGGCTGCAGCACATCCTGACACCCCACCCCTTCCTCAGCTGACCGCAGGGGCTCCCTTGGTTGGTGGCAGAGCAAGCAAGGCTGGCTTTCAGGACTGCTCTTCCTAGGCGCAGGTGGACGCCCACCTGCCTTCACGTGCTTGCTTACTATCATCCACGTGCATCCTCATCATAAAGCAATGCTGAAAATGCCCGAATTTCACCAGGTGTCAGCCACTGTGCTGGGCACTTTAAAGCATTTCATTTGATCTTTAAGAGGAACTCCGAGGAAGAGTCCTGAGGGACGGAGCATTGGAACCCCCACTTCACAGAGGAAGGAATGAAGACCCGTTCCCTGGATCTAGCCAGAAAACATTGGCCACACTGTCTCAGGAGCATTTCAAAGGCTGATATGATCAAACTTTTGTTTCATTCCCGCTTATCTGGCTTCCTAGACTGTCTTCCCTCCCTGGATCACTTTTTCTTTTTTTTTTTTTTTTTTGAGATGGAGTCTTGCTCTGTTGTCCAGGCTGAAGTACAGTAGCATGATCTCAGCTCACTGCTGCCTCTGCCTCCCGGGTTCCAGCTATTCACCTGTCTCAGCCTCCTGAGTAGCTGGGATTACAGGTGCACACCATCACGCCCAGCTGATATTTGTATTTTTGTATCTTTAGTAGAGATGGGGTTTCACCATGTTGGCCAGGCTGGTCTCGAACTCCTGACCTCATGATCCGCCCACCTCAGCCTCCTAAAGTGCTGGGATTACAGGTGTGAGCCACTGTGCCCAGCCCCTGGATGCTTGCTTTATAACCAGTCCCCTCAGCAAAGTAGGTTCAGTTTTCTTACAAAGGCAACCATTTTCCCTGTTATTGCGGGGTCTCGAACTCTTAATTTGAGCTAGCTCCCTCCTATGATAACGCCTTCCTTCTCATAGAAGGCAGTGTTAACCGACACGAAACCACTTTGCACAGTTGCTGGAATTGCCCAGTGACCCATTGTGCAGTGCAAATTCCCTTTCCTCAGGGGGTCTGGGTGGGGAGGGGGCAGCAAGTGTGTCTGGTGTTGGCGGGGGAGTCCAGCCCACACAGAAATCAACAGGAAATGTGACAGCAGCAAACCTGCCTACCATAGGCAAAGCTGAGTCCCTGACGAGTCTGGTTAGTATGATCACTTGACAGACACATCTCTGAGTCCCCTCTGCCAGGCGCAAAGCACACTCTGCAGGGAGAGCATCAAAGTGTAGCTTCCTGGACCCCGTGTCGGTCCCACCAAATCAAAGTCCTGGGGGTGGGGATATGAGTATCTGAGCTTTAAATTAAGTCCTGGGAAAATCTGAAGACCATGGACCTCTGTGTCAGGGGCTGGAAGAAACCTGAAAACGCCAGGAATGAAAAGTCATGTTTCTCATACTCCAGGTCTTCAGGTCCCTGAAAGAGGCTGACCTGGTAACCCACCACTAACTACCGAAGATGACTGACCATTGCTCCACTAGTTCTCCAGGCAAGGTCTGAAGGGCCTTCTACTCCTAAAGAATCTCCCAGCTTCAGCAGGCCTGCTCATATTTAGAAGCAACCATAACATCTGCGTGCATAGACTTTACTGGCTAATAAACTATATTCTATTAGCTCTGCTTTCTAAAACACTTAAACTTATCTCTTGCCCAGTTTCTTCCACCGGGTTCATGAGCTGGAGATAATCTATGTAGTATTAGCCTACCATGATATTAATGTATCTCATTTTAAATTTTCTTAATAGTTTCCGAGAGTACCAATAAATACATTCGGGTATTTTTCTGAAGTTTTCCTATCTGTAAAATAATAGTGTTTAAAACTCTATAAATAACATTGCAGAACATTCATAATTTCACAACTCTGATACAACTGTCATTTTTCATATTTTCCTTTCCTGTCTTTTTCACCTGTATTTATTTTAACATACTTGTGGTCAATGGATGCCTCTAGCTTTTTAATACTTTTCCAATGCATATTCTATCATGGGCATTTTGCATGTTGACACATAATCTTCCTTGTTATTTTTATAGCTGCATAACGTTTCATGAAGTCATTGTGTCAATTTACTTAATCTCGGGCACAGTGGCTCATGCCTATAATCCCAGCACTTCGAGAGGCTGAGGTGGGTGGATCACCTGAGGTCAGGAGTTTGAGATAAATTTACTTAATTATTTTTCTATTGTTAGACATTTAATTTTTGTTCCTTCTGGTCTTTCAAATGTATAAGTAGTAGCATTTTAAAATTTCTTTCTTTCCCTTAGAATAGAATTCCAAACCTTGGCTTATCTAAGGAAATGAGGATCTAAAGAATGTGAAACACTGGACTTTTTGTGGCTGTGAGAGGACATAATTTTTCATCAGAGAGTACCTGATAGGTTATCATTTACTGGACACTACAGTGCCAGGCTCATGGAATCCTCACAACAGCACACTTTCAAGTGTTAGTCTCCATTTTGCAGAGGTAACGTACCCACGCTTGCGCAGTGAGGGGGGGGTGGGTTCTTCTAACCCAAAGCCCACCCTGTGGTAATCCACAGTAAGAGAGAGGGAAGAAGTGACGGAGGGCAGGGACGGACACTTCGAGAGACTTGTGATGGACACAAGGGCAGTTTACCACATCTTTCCAGCTCTGTCCCACTTCCGGCGCCTGGTAGACTTCACTTCCGGCCCGTGTGATTGGGTAGCGCCACACTGCGCTGTGAAGGGCAGTAATGTGAGTGACGTCCAGACTAGAGCATCTAACTAATGGTGCAGCATCCTCCAGGACTCTCTCCCTCTGCCGCGATGACCTTAACATTTGACGGGATCGTTGCTCCATCAGCTTGGGGCCCCGCGTGGGGAGCCGCCCGGCAGAATCCCAGGCTGAGCTGCAACAGCCACAGAGATGGAGCAAGAAATAAGCTGCTGTTGTCAGGAGTCGCTAAGATTTTGGGGTAGTCTGTAGCCACGGCATAATCTAGCCCATTCTGCCGGACGTCTTTCAACTTCCAAAACGACTTGCGTAAGCTTCCCCTACACATAGGCAGCTTCCTTCATAAGGTGATTTGAGAAGTACCTAGGGCACACAGGCCCCAAAACGCTGCCCGAAATACCTACTGGGAAGGACATTCATTCATTTGGGTGAAGGGCTGTGGAGGGTAGCAGCGTGCAACCCCAGTCATTCCCAGTGTTACACATACAGGCTCATCAGCTCCATGTGACAGAGGGCAACTATTTAGTGGGCTGTGTTTGCGGACAGGATGAAGAGACGTTTAAGGCTCTGAGTTCTTGCCAGAGAGTGGACAGCCCCTTGGAGTTCCAGAGTACTGTGCTGGACATATGGGTAGCTGCCTGCTGTCCCAGCTGCAGGAGGCTAGACCCTGTCGCCAGATTCACCTAGCCAACAATTTTGCCTTTGGCCATCTTGTCCCAGAGAGATGTGATTCTGTCATTCATATTAAGACCTCTTCCCTCACAGAAATACCATCTCCTGGGAAGATGGCCTTAGGGGAACAGAGGCTTGAGTTTTACAGGCATTGTCCAGGGCTCAGATGCAAACTCTGCCATTCACCAGTTAAAGGACCTTAAATCCTGTGTCATGTCTGAGCCTCAAATTTCTCACCCATTAAGTGGGAATCAAAATATCTACTTTGTAGGATGGTGGGCTAATTAAGAGTAAGAATGTGCTTGGCACACAGTAGGTCCTCAATAAATTATTCCTACTGCTTTTTAAGTGTCTTCCTAGGCTCATCCTCTCCATAAGACAGGAAAATCAGTATTACTCCTCCAATGAAAGCAAACTTCGCAAAAGGGCAGGGCCTCCTTCCATCTGCTTTATCATACACTTGGACAATCATTCTGAAAACATACTTTTGGGGTCACAGTGTTAAGGGGAGCTTCTTGCTATCAAGAGACAGCTGTTTGCTATAGTACTCATATAAGTGCCCCATGTTTGCAACCCTTGAGAAGAGCCTTCTTTCTAACTGGGCAAGCACTGGGTCTTCGGCAGGACCCAGCAATTAAGGGGAAGGCTTGTGCTGTGTTAGCACGTCCTCTACACTGGAAGCCCTTTAACAACAGAGGGATGCAAAATATCACAAGGAATGGGTTTTGAGAATGTGCGGTGCTGCCACCATCCCTGTTACCTCCACGTTCAGAGCCGGATTCACTTTAGCACTGGGCACTGAAGATTTCCTAGATGAGTTAGCTCAGATAGGCTGATGAAAGCCCAACTTTGCCTGAGGCTCCCTCCAGCGAAGCTTCCTGCCTGCTCTGTCTGCCCGTCTCCAGCCCTTCACTAGGGTTCTTTCTTTGGTGCTGCCCTTTGCTCTAACTCAGGAGTTGTTAGGTTACAGTTTTCTTATAGTAGTGATTTTCCAAACTTTTCGGAATGTTGACAACCTATCCTCGTTTTCCTGATGTGATTTTTTTTCCCTTATGCCTAAAGTGCTATATAGCACACACAATTATTTAATAGGATTTAAAGTCTTCCAGGAATTATTCATGATAGCCCCAAAGTGGAACCAACTCAAATATCCATCAACTGATACATGTGTAAACCTGATGCGGTCTATTCATTCAACAGAATATTATCCCGCCACAATGAGGAATGAATCACACCTGTAATCCCAGCACTTTGGGAGGCTGAGGCCAGCAGATCACCTGAGGTCAGGAGTACGAGACCAGCCTGGCCAACACTGTGAAATCCTGTCTCTACTAAAAATACAAAAATTAGCCAGGCATGGTGGCAGGTGCCTGTAATTCCAGCTACTCACAAGGCTGAAGCAGGAGAATCACTTGAAACCAGGAGGTGGAGGTCGTAGTGAGCCAAGATCAGGCCACTGCACTCCAACCTGGGCGACGGAGTGAGACACCGTAACCAAAAAAAAAAGAAAAATGAGGAATGAAGAACTCATAGATACTACAACATGGATGAATGCTGAACACACCATGCTAAGTGAGGGAAGCCAGGCACAACAGGCCACATAATACATGACTCCATGTATATGAAATGTCCAGAATAGACACATCTATAGAGACAGAAAATAGATGAGTGGTTGCCTAGGCCAGGCAGGGGTGGAGGGGTAGGACGTGGGGAGCAACTGTTGGTGGGTATGGGTTTCTTTTTAGGGCAATAAAAAGGTTCTAAAACTAGAAAAGAGTGATAATTGTACAACTCAGAATATACTAAAAGCCATTGAATTGTGTACCTTAAAAGAGCAAAGCTTACGGCATGTGAATTATATCTCAATAAACGTGCTGTAAAAAAATAATCTTGCAATGCAATAATTTTATGACCTACCTCAAAATAAACAAAAAAACCTCTGGGGGTGTTTCCAAATTAGAGATGGGAACACGCCTTATGGGGTTTGCAATCTCAAACAGGAGAAGTAGGCTAGGTGGCAAGGCACAGACGGGGCAGGAGCCTTCAGTCACTGGAGAATGAGCCTCGCGTGGGGTCAGCCCCCGTGCACTTCCTGCCAGTGACTGCCTCTCAGACCCAGTATTGCCAGATTTTACATTTTTTTTTCAAGAAAACAACAAAAAGTTTTGTGGGGTTTTTTTGAGAGGGAGTTACACTCTATTGCTCATACTGGAGTGCGGTGGTGTGATCCCAGCTCAGTGCAGCATTCATCTCCTGGGTTCAAGTGATTCTCCTGCCTCAGCCTCCCAAGTAGCTGGGATTACAGGTGACCGCCACCACGCCCAGCTAATTTTTGTATTTTTAGTAGAGATGGGGTTTCACCATGTTGGCCAGGCTGGTCTTGAACTCCTGGCTTCAGGTGATCCGCCCACCTCAGCCTCCCAAAGTGCTGGGATTACAGGTGTAAGCCACCATGCCTGGCTGAAAAAACAAAAGAATGTAATTTTAGTTGAAATTTTCTTTCTTTGGTTTTTTTCAACTAATTCAACTTTTTAAATAACACATATTTCATTTCTGCCCTTACTGCTGAGTCAACAAATATTCCTGAGTGTCTCCTGTGTGCCGGGCGCAGTCCTAAGCCCTGGGAGTGCAGCAATGAGCAGGGCCTCAGTTATGGGCTGTGATCACGTCAATGGGAGGGTGCTCCTGTGGAGCAGATGGCCCTGTGCAGCCCGCACTGAGCTGTCGTGGGAGCCTGGCACCTGGGGCCCAGCACTGCCATGGGCACCAGCACTGCTGGCAGCCGCACTCACCCAGAGAGAGATGAGCCAGCATCCCAGCAAGCCCCAAAGCCCCTCTCCAGTCCTCCCTAGAGAGGCATGAGTGTGCTCAGAGAGGTGGCTGTGGATCAGGCCAAGGCAGAACAAATCCTCAGGCTGTGGGGCACACCGGCGAGATGCTTATCTTCCCATATCTTATTTATTTTGAGACAGAATCTCTCTCTGTCACCCAGGCTGGAGTGCAATGGCACCATCTCGGCTCACTGCAATCTCTGCCTCCCTGGTTCAAGTGATTCTTGTGCCTCAGCCTCCTGAGTAGCTGGGATTATAGGTGCCTGCCACCACATCTGGCTAATTTTTATATTTTTAGTAGGAGCAGAGTTTCACTAGTTGGGCAGGCATCAGGTGATCCACTCACCTCGGCCCCACAAAGTGCTGGGGTTATAGGCATGAGCCACCATGCCCAGCCCCCATCTCTCTCTAAATGCCCAAGTTCAGACCTCTGGAGAGAGACCAAGGCACAGAGGCCGGCCTGCCCTCAGGGATAGAATCTCCTGGTACATGACGTTTTAACGACAGCCTCATGGCACCTCACAGAAGACCGACCTTGAAGATTACTTTCTTTTTTTTTTTTTAGCCTCTCTTGCTAAATAGAATGTCATTAACTACTCAGATGCCATGGTTCAAACCAGACTCTCTAGGAAAGAAGGGCTCTAAGTCGCCCATTTTATTTCATTTCCCATTTGCTGTGGTTCCTGGAGAGAATTCGTGGTTACAGGGGCAGCCATTGTTTCAATGGGCTTGGCCATTTTTACCGCATTCAGTAGGGACTTTCTGTCCCCCAGGAGATCTGATCTCAAGGAGATAATTCTCAGAAAAGCTCTCACGAATAACAGTGAGTCAGAACCGCAAAATTAAAATATTATTAGTTTCAAAGTAGGCACCTAAATGTACTCTACTTGGTTTGTGACAAGTATAATCTGAAACTACCAAAACCTAAAATTTAATGGCACAACAGGAGAAATGAACATGTTTGTGCTTTTCTAAAAAGAAAATTAAATCTTGGCCGGGCGCGGTGGCTCAAGCCTGTAATCCCAGCACTGTGGGAGGCCGAGGCGGGTGGATCACGAGGTCAAGAGATCGAGACCATCCTGGTCAACATGGTGAAACCCCATCTCTACTAAAAATACAAAAAATTAGCTGGGCATGGTGGCGCGTGCCTGTAATCCCAGCGACTCAGGAGGCTGGGGCAGGAGAACTGCCTGAACCCAGGAGGCGGAGGTTGCGGTGAGCCGAGATCGCGCCATTGCACTCCAGCCTGGGTAACAAGAGCGAAACTCCGTCTCAAAAAAAAAAAAAAAAAAAAAAGAAAAGAAAATTAAATCTTTTTTGTTCATTGTTCCAACCCAATAAACAACCATTAAAATGTAAAATTTTTTTAAAAAGCATGCTGCTTTTTAGAATGTCATAGGGTAGGTTAGATGGCTGCAAGTTATTTGCTGCTCCTGCCCATTGAGAGATAAAATCTAATAGCCCTCCCCTTGAAGCTGAGCCAGTCTTTAGGACTTGCTTGACTGGAACTTGAATGAGACAGAAGCACCTTGGGTCTTTCAAGGCTGGTTCAGCTTTGCTCTTGGTTTCCTGGAACGCTGTATAGACTTTCCTAGCCAAAAACCATGTTCTATTAGCTCTGCTTTCTAAAACACTTAAACTTATCTCTTGCCCAGTTTCTTCCACCGGGTTCATGAGCTGGAGATAATCTATGTAGTATTAGCCTACCATGATATTAATGTATCTCATTTTAAATTTTCTTAATAGTTTCCGAGAGTACCAATAAATACATTCGGGTATTTTTCTGAAGTTTTCCTATCTGTAACATAATAGTGTTTAAAACTCTATAAATAACATTGCAGAACATTCATAATTTCACAACTCTGATACAACTGTCATTTTTCATATTTTCCTTTCCTGTCTTTTTCACCTGTATTTATTTTAACATACTTGTGGTCAATGGATGCCTCTAGCTTTTTAACACTTCTTCAACCCGTATTCTATCATGGGCATTTTGCATGTTGATACAAAATCTTCCTTGTTATTTTTATAGCTGCATAACATTTCATGAAGTCATTGTGTCAATCTGACTGGCCCTAGAGGGTGATTACCCAAGACCAACCCACTGCCAGGGACAGAAGCTGTGTGAAACGGCCTAACCAGACGACACCAGGGGAACCAAGTCAACCCTCAGAACCAGGAGGTAATAGAACAAAATCTGCTCTGGGCTGCTAAGTTTTGGGGTGGTTTTAAGACAATAATAGCACATTAGAATACGCAGGAAAAGAGAATGTGATTATTTTTCATAGATCTTCATTTACAGCAAGAGGGAAAAATAGTTATTCTGGACCAATGATAGCTTCCCATACATTCACCCTAAAATCCACTTCACAAGATACTGGTGTAATGTGAAGAGCACAATAACCATTACATAAGTCAATGATGTTTACTGAATACCCACTATGTACACAGCTAAGTAGAATATCTAATCAGGAATTATCTAAGTTAACAATTCCTGGTCTGAATGAATGGGGAAACTGTGAACTATAACTATTTTTGGTCAGAGGAGAAAAGGTAAATAAATGAATTATTTCAAAGTCCTGAGATGAAAGGAACTATTCTGCATGTATAATTAAGAACAAGGTTATCAAAGTATGTGTATTAAAATATACACACAATGGAATATTCCAGGTTGTAGTCTTCTCAAGAGCAGGAAGCAATTCCATCCAACCTCTAAAAACTTCAGAACTCTAAGGATTTTCAACACATACCTGTAGTTGTCAGGATTAAATATTTAAACATGAACTGAACTTCTATTACAGCTTACGTTCTTACCTTTGCTTACTACAACTTATAAAAGTTTCATCATTAGTGTTCATTTTTTTTTTGAGACAGAGTCTTGCTCTGTCACCCAGGCTGGAGTGTAGTGGCACGATCTCACCTCACTGCTACCTCCAGCTCCTGGACTCAAGTGATTCTCGTGCCTCAGCCTCCTGAGTAGCTGGGACTACAGGCATGCAACATCACAACCGGCTAATTTTGTATTTTTTGTAGAGACAGGGTTTCACCACATTGGCCAGACTGGTTTCGAACTCCTGACCTCAAGCCATCCACCCACCTCAGCCACCCAAAGTGCTGGGATTATAAGGTCCTGGCTGGTGTCAAGTTTTAGATCTGACCAATGAATGGTAAAGTGGGGAGAGACTGGGACAAAGTGCCAGCACCATCTGCTTAGCTTGAGAATTATTTTACATCTAAGAGTATGTTTATCCACAGGAGCCATACACTGGATGGGCTGCTGTCTTACATTCCTTTCTGAGTATTCTTTCTGTAGGCTCACTCACTGTCAACCCCCTGGTGAAGAGCTGGGGTGATGTTGAGCACAGCATTGCTATGGATAATCAAATGTATAGGGGGCAGGGCTCTACATTTGGGGGTGCTTTTAAGACAATAATCCATCATTAGGCAGGAAAAGAGAATATGATTATTTTTCATAAATCTTCATTTACAGCAAGAGGAGAAAATATTAATGAATCTGGACTATTCAAGTGTTTCCATTGAAAAACCAATTTCAATTGTTCTATACCATGTTCCAAACGCCGAAGAGACGACAGAAACAGACTGTGACGCTTCTACGTTCTCAGGTCTTCACTTTCCAAACTAAGCATTTCCCATGGAAGGCTCTCATTGCCAGCTGTCTTATGTGCATGTCTGAATAGCCAACAACTCATGTAATAAACTCTCTGTATAACATGCACCTACCTACTTGAACTCGGCTGACATAAGAATCTCTCTAGAAAAGAGACTGACTCCTAGCTACAATTAGCTTTATGCACTTTCAGGAAATTTTATTGGTAGAGAATTTTCTCCTTGGTAATTCTGTGAGGGTCACAATTAAACAACTAAACAGCATTAACAGTGTACTGCTCGACACAACACGCAGCCCCCTTAATGCGGAACGTCAGCAAAGTCTGCAGAGACAGCCATGAAAAAAGGCAGCGAAGGGCGGAAGACGCCCTTGCCAGGCCCTCCGGGGCTGGGGGAGCACTGGGCTGGGCACTTCAAACAGAGAGCCTTGGATTCTTTTCCCACTTTGTGGAGAGCAAATTTAGGGGGCAGACAGCTAAGGGAAGATTTACAAACACGATAATTTTTGTTTCTAAGGGATAATGCAAAGCAGGCATAGGCATTCTCCTCCAAAGAGGTTCTCAAAGAGATCTTTAAGAAGCCAGAAAATACCACATTTCTTTGCCTAACTCAGAAGTCCTGGGAATCTTCATTTGTCAGCAGAAGCTCTGAAAACAAGGCACTGCACTGTTTTTTATGCCTAATGTGGTAGAAGACATCCCCTACAACAAAGAGAAAGAAAAATCGTTTTTCTTATAAGTCAGAACATAATACAGGCTTATGGCTCTAGGCTTATGGCTGTTGAAGTCCTTGAAGGATTCACAAGGCACTCATCGCTCCAGTGAGTGATCATCTTGTGGAAACCTACAGCGAATCTCACTAGAAAATACACTGGAAAAGAATAGAAAGATGAACAGGCGTGTCCACCAACTCTGAAACCCCAGAGCTAAGGAGACCACTTTGAACTAAAGGGGTAAATTTAGGATAAGTAAGAAAAAGAGCTCACTCGACATGGTGGTGGAAAACTCATGACATCACAGCAGGCACTGGAGAGGCTGAAATTATAAATAAGCTCAGAAATGATGTGAAGTCACAGATCTATAGTGAGTTGTATCAAGGGAAATGAGGTTGTCTGATGCCCCCTACAGAGACCCCTTGATGCCACCGTCACATGATAGACCAGGATCTGGCCCAACAGAGGTTTAAAAAAAGTTTTTTCTAAAGCATGAAAATAATTCTAAATTAGTGGCAGACTTTTCGTGTATGAGGATCTCAAGACCCAGAACCGCTCTGTCTCTGGTGGGGGCGGGTGCTCTGAGGTGTAGTTTCCCTGGCTGATAAATCCCTAATGCTGCAAGCCTTGACTGTGGCAATGCACCCAGCAGCTGGATGGAAAGTGCGGGAACTGGGTCCCCCACAGGGTAGAGAGGGTGTCACCACATTGCCACCTGCCCACCCACTGCTGCCCAGCTCTGTCCTTCAACAGGCATCCTCCAATTTTTATTTCCTATCCAGAAGGAGAATATGTCTGTCTACAAGGGTGGAGGCTGCTGACTTCAACACTCTAACCAAAGAGGTAGCTGCTGTCATAGAGGTAACTAGGAACTCGGAGGCAGGACCAGGGAGGCTGCATTTCACCGTCCAAACGCCTTTGCCTCTGGGAATGGCATGAGTGACAGGGCTGGGCGGTAACGAACTGTACATGTACAATGTGTTCAGGAAAGCAGTTCTCAAACCCACAGCAATCTGCCCTGCTGCCTTTGTCTTGCTCCAGCTGTATCCTGATGTCCCTTTTAAAGCTATTTTTAGTAACAATCATTATTCAACCAAGAAGAACAGAAATTTACATCAAATGCATTCACAGAGGCGCAGGAGACTTTGGCCACAAACAGTCGGCCTCTCAAAGGTATCTTTCCCCATGCCGACCCCATCTCGCCTTGTTTTATTGGTGGTTAGAAGCCTGGAACTCCAGCCACAGTTTAGTCAAACTCCATGACATATTGTTTATGGTGGTGGCCACCTGGGAATTTCCCAGGTCCCTGGAGCACGTGTGTTTTTCAGGTTCTAAAAACAAAAGTCCACAGCGATGACATAAGAGTCTCCACTATAGATTGCACATGCGGTTTAACCAGCCCTTACTCTGCTTCTTGCTATGCCAATCGCTGTGGCTGGCAGTCAGGAAAAGGAAGGCTTACTTGAGCACATGCATGTGTTTTATTCATTGTCCCATACAGGAAAAAAGTAGATAAAGGGATGATCTAGGTGCCTCCTGTTACTGCCAACCTGTGCCAGCTGGGAGAAACACCGCTGGGCTCAGGACCTTGTAAGAAGGTCCGCGGTAGCCTGCACCCTTGCCTCTCCCGGGAAATCCTCCTCGGTCGCGTCTCTAACCCATCCCCAGCCATAAGAAAATGGGGGATGTTTCCACACGGGCCCAGTTTTAGTAACATTATTTCTGCCTCCGTATACCTTAAGGGTACAACTAAGAACTGGAACTCTTGATTAAAATGATACACATTCCAGACTTCTGGGAAGCCTTACTACAGAAGGATTTCTGCATGGCATGGGAAATTGGATGCGAGGTCATCTAAATGATTCCTTTCCTACGTGGAGAGTCTATTGTTTTATTTCCCAGGCAGCGAGCTGCTTCAAAACTCCTAGTCATAGGAATTCAAGAATTGCTATGTGGGCATCAACAGCACTCTCTGGAGAAGCAGACACAGAAAGGTATGCACAACATAGGAATGACTCTTATTTTTTTTCTTTTTTTGAGAGACAGAGAGAGGGGGAGGGGGAGAGAGAGAGAGAGAGACTGGTTGTGTTGCCCAGGCTGGAGTGCAGTGATGTGATCATAGCTCACTGGAGCCTCAACTTCATGGGCTCAAGCAATCCTCCCCCTCAGCCTCCCAAGTGGCTAGGAGTACAGGTGCACACTACCATGCTTGGCTTCTGAGGCAGGAAAATTGCTTGTTCCCGGGAGACGGAGTCTCGCTCTATCACCCAGGCTGGAGTGTAGTGGCGTGATCTCGGCTTACTAAAACCTCCGTCTCCTGGGATCAAGCAATTTTCCTGCCTCAGCCTCCAGAGTAGCTGGACCCGGCTAATTTTATTGTATTTTTAGTAGAGATGGGGTTTCACTATATCGGCCAGGCTGGTCTCAAACTCCTGGTGATCCTCCCACCTCGGCCTCCCAGAGTGCTGGGATTACAGGCGTGAGCCAATGTGCCTGGACTAATTTTTTAATTTTTAGCAGAGACAGAGTTTTGCTATGTTGCCCAGGCAAATCTCAAACTCCTGGCGTCAAATGATCCTCCCTCCTTAGTGGTCTACAGCGCTGGGATTACAGGTGTGAGCCACCATGGCTGGCCAGACGACTCTTTAAAGGACATCACAGTTTGATGTTGACTTACCAACCCAGAGGAATGAAGTGGACACCTTGCTCATTAACTGTCCCCTTATCTACTCCTGCACCCCACTTAGGGGCACACAGGCCACTCCCTCCATTCTAGTGACTCCCACCCTGAGGCTCTCTCTGGCTGCCTCTGCTCCAAGCTCCCCGGAAACCCCAACTCTTCCCATATCAGTTTACGGGCAGCCTGTATCAGCGAGGGCCGCCCACACGTGCACAAAGCTTGTTCACACTCGCTCCACTGTCAACACAATACAAGGTGCCTTGTTCTTCTGTGACTCACACTATCCCTCCAACAAAGCCTCCAAACTTCCAGCCACCAGCACAGAAACAAGACACTTGCCTCCCTCCTCACCCTATGGAAAATGTAGACAGCTGGTGACGAAGGGGATCTCTTACTTTGTTTCTAAGTCTTGCTGCATCATCCAGCGGTCACCTGGAGCTCTGATATCGTCTAGGCAGCAGGAGCTACACCTTCTACATTATGAACGCCAGCAATTTGTTTTCCAGAATGTTCTTTCATCAACACTGCTGGAGAAATACCTTTATTCTGCATTTCTCTATGTTGTCATGCAGATCAACACTACTCTGATAAACAGTTAAGCACAGCAGTTCCTGGCCATTGCATGGAGGCATGCATAGAAATTACCACGAGACCAGCCTGACCAACATGGAGAAACTGTCTCTAATAAAAATACAAAATTAGCCGGGCATGGTGTACATGCCTGGAATCCCAGCTACCTGGGGGGCTGAGGCAGGAGAGTTGCTTAAATCGGGGAGATGGAGGCTGTGGTGAGCCAAGATCACGCCGTTGCACTCCAGCCTGGAGCAAAACTTGATCTCAAAAATAAAAATAAAATTAGGGCCCCATGGATCATCATGAGAGGAGCGCTTTGTCTCCCTCAAAAAAAAAAAAGAAAAAAGAAAAAGAAAAAACAAACAAAAAAATTCTGTCCACGTTTACTAGTAGCTACATTTTACATCTTTTGGTTATTGAGAAAATACATAGTTATATCCTAAATTCAGCGATGCTTTCAATTGAGTTTATGTTTGATTAGTCACACAGGATCTACATGTGCTTGGGGAAAAGCACCAGCACTCACATCCACACAAGACACACCATTCACTGTTCAGGGACCACGCTGGGTCCTTGACCCCTTGCAGGAGCCCCACAGCCCCCACTTGCCCCAGGCCAAGGCCCACACACTGGGAACTTCTGTGGTTTATCCTCTTTTGTGATTTCTTTGAAACCAAAATTTTACTAGATAATCCCAAAAGAATTTTTTAAGTTGACATTTCAAGAGGGGAAAAAAGCAAAATCAGTTATTATTAATTTGTTCCTTTCACGCTACTCTTATATTCCTGTTATTTTATCAAGCAATGTAACAGATATCAACAGAATAGATTTTCTACCATTTGATGCTGTCCACCCATCTACGAACATTAAATAAAAACAAATACTAATGAATTGTAACACTCTGTGCTCTTGGGGACTATTAGAGTCTAATTAAAGCCCACAAGATCAATGCTACGCCAAACAAAAAAAATCACCATGGGAACTATGAAGAGGAAAAAAGATGTTTGTTAGCAATCACATAAAATTACCCTGAACAATCCTCCCTTCCTCTACCTACCCTGCTTCCACAAAAACACTCCTCTAGGCATAAACATAAACAAATTACAATAACCAGATTCTACACATACCGACTGTAGAAAGAAGAGGCCGGAGAGTATGGGATGGAAATTGGGGACAGGTAGTCTATTTGTTCATCTTTCCTGCAAAGCCAGGCTAAGCAGATATACTCACAAGAGTTTTATGAGTTGGTTATATTTGCAGTGGTTTTAATTTGTCCAAATTTGCTCCTCCTTGTCCCTGGGACATGCACAACCCCAGCCCCCCAGCTGTAAAACCTCAGCACAGCAGTTGAGGCTCAGTGGCCAGGGGGCCATCTCTCAATGCTGCATTTGGTTGAGGGGGCAAGTGGTAGGGGCCAGATAGTGGCCAATGGATGAGACCCACTCAGAAACAGTAAAACCAGGAACACAGAATCTATGCAGATCTACATGTCAGACCCCAGAGAGACCCCCAATGCCAAGGAAATTTGGTCCCAGGCATGATTTTTGGCATGAATATCACTGACTAACAGTTGACAGTAAAATCACATTTTTGTAATTTCAGGTTTATGAAAAAAGCCTTGGTATAATCTTAAATGATTGATAAATATTCCAGTGAATATATCTTAGTTTTCATGTATTCTTGCTAGCTGACAAAGGCAGAAAGTAAGAACAGTACAGGCTTTACTGTCCGTTTTTATTTTGCTTGTTTTGTTTGGAGATGGAGTTTTGCTCTTGTTGGCCAGGCTGGAGTGCAGTGGCATGATCTCAGCTCACCGCAACTCCACTTCCTGGGTTCTAGCGATTCTCCTGCCTCAGCCTCCCAAGTAGTGGGATCACAGGTGAGCACCACCATGCCTGGCTAACATTTTGTATTTTTAGTCGAGATGGGGTTTCTCCATGTTGGTCAGGCTGGTCTCAAACTTCTGACCTCAAGTGATCCGCCCATCTCGGCCTCCCAAAGTGCTGGGATTACAGGAATGAGCCACTGCGCCTGGCCTATTGTCCATTTTAAAACATGATGGGATAGTCCTCCCGCATTCTTAGAGCAAATTTCCTGTTTCATATTCCAGTTCCAGGAAATGTCATTCCCAAATGATCACAAAGCAGGTTTTACAATACCAGCTAGCATTCGCGCTCCTGGACTCCGTTTCTATTTATTGTGGCCAAAGAAATAAAGTGCCCAGACCCACACGGAAGCCCTGATCAACACCTTCACCACAGAGTCTTAGTATGTGGCCAACTCAGTGCCAACGAAGTGCCCATCACAACT